TCTCGTCTTCTCCTTTTTCCCCTGTAAACCAAGTCCACAGGTGTCAGTGGCCAAACTCAACCTGTCTCTTTATTGCTGCATTTCTCCGACTTCCACTCAACAAGTAGATCCAGGTGGTCACCTAGCAAGCATTTCAGCCTGCTCACAGGCTCCCTTTAACACATACCATCTCCCTGGGTGCCAAATTAGTCACCCCAGTCATCCACTAGCAGAAGACCACCCCCCACTTCCAGCCCTGCTCCTCACCCTATCCCCCCAGCACAGAGTGGCAGGCCCATGACCCTGCTCCTTGTTCCATCCCCATCCCCTGCCCCCTGTTGCCTCCCCCTCCTGCCACCACCCTGCACCCCACCCCCACCCCTCTGCAACACAGCAGCAGGCTGAGTGCTCTGACCAGAGAGGCCCTGTTTCAACCCAAGGTCTTTCCTCCATCCGTGCAGTTTTAACTCTGAACCTTGAGTCGGTGGCTCTAGTCATGGAGACCAATAAGCAAGATCCGGCAGCAAACGGGCCTGCCCCTCACTCCCAGGCCCGGCAGTCCCAGGCCCCAGACCAGATTGGCCTGGTCGCGCCCACCACCCTCTGCTCCAGAGTCACCCTGCACATGCACGCCCACTCTGCCCCCATGTGGTCTGGTCCCCAGCATTTGCAGGTGCTTAAGGATCCTGGTCAGGAGACTGGGGGGTGGGGGGGGGGCAATGCAGCTGCCTGGCTGGAGTCCTGTGTGCCCAGGAGACAGCGCTTGTCCCCTGAGTCCCCCGAATTCCCCCTGCCATCACTGCCTCCCTTAGCCCTTCCCAGGGGTATGGGAAGTGAGGAGCAGTTGGGGAAACCAAGTTGTTGAGTGCCCACCACACTGTGATCCAGCTGGCGGACAGCAGTGTCCACCTGGGCCAAGCTGGAAGGGTGACCAGGAGAGACGGCTGTTGGAAAATCCCTCTGAAGAGGAAGGTTCGCGAATGTGGCTTTGTCCTGCCCTTGCAGTTCTTGACAGTGCTCAGAGCTGTGTCTACAAGCAGTGGACTGGGGACAAGACCGTGCAGAGCAGGAAGGCCCTGCCACCTTGAGCCTTGAACACAGATGGAATCCTGAAATGTTTGCGCTGGAAGAACCTCAAGCACTCCTGCCAGCCCTCCTGGCCCCAGGGAAGTGGACTCAATGACCCAGCCAGAGTTGGAATGACTAGGGGCTGGGAGGGGGACGGGCCATGAGAGAACAAACTGAGCACTCTCCCAGGTACAGAGGGGAGCACGCCAGAGTGGGCCCAGCCTGGGCAGGGAAGCCTTGGGTCTGGCAGCAGCTCTGGGAGACAGTAGTGGAGGCAGTGGGGACACCATGTTCACCACACTACGTTGACCCTGGAAGTGGCCGCCTACATCCCTCACCAGCCCCGGTGGCTGGGTCGGGTGGAGGCAGGTCAGACCTCTGGAAGAAGCAGTGAACCAGGAGGATGAGGCATTACCGGGCCAACAGAGAGGCACTTCCACAGTCACCCCTCTCCCTTGCCCAGGGATCATCCACTTTACAAGTGAGCAGCCTGGGGGTCAGAGAGTAGGCCCCAGGGAGTACTCTCCAGGAGGCCTACTGGTACCGAGTGAACTGTGACCCCAAAATCATGCATTGTAGCTCCTCACATCTGGGTTCTAATCCCATCTGGGCCTGGGTCGGTCGCTGTGTTAATGAGGCAGGTGTACTATAGAGTGAATCCCAAGTCACTCTCTTGATATTTTTATAAATGAGAATAGACCAAAAAGCCCGCATAGCCTGCGGAGGAGAAAATGGGTTAAGATAGATGCCAAGACACCTGGAGACTGCCAAGGAAGCAGGAAGCTGAACTTGAAGAGACAAAGACCTTGTCCAGAGCCAACAGAGTGGGGAGAGTCGATCCCGGGGTCATCACTCAGATTCAGGCTTCTCGCCTTCTCCAGGCCCTGGAGAAAGACATGGTTCACGCGGCAGTCCGAGAAAAAGAAGAAAATCTTTAGGGAGATGGCCTGACCCCGAGGCTCTACCACAGGGTCCCACATAGCAAGGATTGTGAGGCTGGACAGTGCTTTACTCTCTTGTACCTAACCAGCCCGATAGCAGCCGAGAACAAACCACAGCCTCCCAAACTGTAGGATAATGCATTTGTCGAAAGCACCCACGGCAGTCTTTCAGCTACAGCAGCCTGGGGTGTCTCCTGTGCCGCCTAGCAGATGGCTGCACTGACGATGGGAGCCACACAGGAAACATCGTGTGCCCAAGACAGGCGAATGGACTAGCTGCATGTGAACAGGCAAAGTACTTGAGGGGCACACCGGGGTGCACCCATGTCGAAACAGGCAGTCTTCCTTGAGTACTAAAGACACGTAGCAGTGTCATATTGGGGGTTCAGGAGCAAGGGCAGAAGCAGACTGTCTTCTTAAAGCAAAACAACATGGATTTTTGAACTAGCACACAGCTCCACTGCTTCAGGCCAAGCCGCCTTGCTGCTGACAACAATTAAAAACAAGTGCCACAAGTACTATTCACATTTCAAGAAGGAAGCATGGGTGCGTAAACTCTGGTGCGTGCACACGTTGGGTAAGTCTGTGAAACACTTCAGACATGGGTCAAGGGTGGGCACCCTTTTGGGACAGAAGAGCTAATCTTGTTCGAAATGTTAAAATTATTCAAGAGCCATAAAAATATTTTTACAAGGAAATGGGATCACCATTATCTGAATAATATCCTTTATGAAGCTTACCAATGAAACTATGACCATTTTATGTTCATTTTCCACTGTACTTCAGGACCACACATACATACAGCAAGAGCCAGATCTGGCTCCAGAGCCGCAGCTGGCCGACCCCTGACATGGATGAAGTGGGAGGTCACTATGCTGAGTGAAAATAGTCGGACACAAAAGTCCACTGTTACTAAAAAAAATCAAGAAAAGGTTTTCACATTAAAAGAAGCATTATTTGATGGTTGGGGGAGGGGAAGTCACAAGCTGGACCACAGACAGGGGTTAACTGCGAAGGGATGACAATATCCCACCTGGGGGAGATGGGCCAAAAATGATGGAGACAGGACAAACCACTATGCGGTTTGATGAATTGTTGCATGTAGCACTGGTAACTGCTGCTCTGCTCCTAAACCGTGATCTCAGTCACACTAAAAAGGCATGTCAGGTGCAATCTATGGCAAGCCCATGTGCATCAGTGTACACCTGTGCTCTATCAGGTTCTCAGTGGTTGTGTTTGTGCAGTAGAATGCCAGCCTCTCTCCTAAAGCACCACTGAATGGACGCTGACCTCCAGACTTCTGGTTCGCCGCCAAAGCACCTTAACCACAATCGGCTGCCGAAATGGGGTGATCCGTAAATAACAAATACCAGGAACAAAATATTTGATCCTTCAGCCAAGGCAGCCACTGTGCGCCAGCCTGCTCCCCAGCGGGCTCGCCTGCTCCCTTCTAACCTCTGTCTTCTCGCCCCCTGCAGGCACCAGCCCTCGGGATGCGACAGACCCGCTCCTGTACCTGCTCCTGTTAGCGCTTCATCAGCTCCTGCGCTTGCTGGTGGGGCACTGACATACCACCCACCGCTGTGCCGCCACCTTCTCCTCTTCCTCCTCCTCCGCAGGCGCACAGAGCGGCCAGGACCCTCTGTGAGGACTGCGTCTCACAGGGATGCAGAGAGACTGAGAGAAGCATGAAAAATTCCACGTGGGAAATCAACACATCATATTTTGGGGGAAGTGACACAAATGTAGAACACCTAAAATATTGCATCTAGTTTCAAGTAAGATGGAGTTGAAGCCATGCGCTGTGCATGGGATCACTGGTGTCTCCACCGCGTGTACCCTTTTCCTTTCCGAGCTGTTCCTCCGGGTCTTCATTTTGCACGAACTGTTGAGCAGTTATCTTTAGGACAATATGTAAAACAGGTTGGCTCCGAGCCTCTCTGACAAAGCGAAATATTTTTAGTAGATTATTGTGTTTAAGGATTTTTTTATTTACTTTTTCTTTGGGGAGGGGGCTTTTCTTTTTTTTATTAAAGTAAATTATTTCCTTTGAAACATTTTGATTAAACAAATGACACATCTTATCATAATTGAAATTCACTGTCAATAATATTTATTTTTAAATAAAGATTGGAAACAAGGTCAGACACTTGTTTATAAACCGTATTGTATATTGCTGAATAACAGTTGAATAAAAAACAACTTTGAAATAATGCTTCTACAGCTATGTAATAACGTGACAGTTTGGGGATCCAGGGCTGGCAGCTACACTCCAAGCTGGATGTGCCCCACAGAGACAGGCAGGGTGGGGGCACTCACCTCCCCTGGGGACAGAGGGCCTCGCAGAGCACTAGGAGGAGGTATGACCCAAATCCAGAATGGTCCTTTCCTGGTGAAAATGAATGGGGCACCCTGTTCACTCACTTGGAGATTACATATCAAGATGTATTTTTGTTCTTTGCCTCACTGCTTCTTTGAGAAGAATGCTGGAGACAGCCGGACACCCACCTCTACTCTCTGTGCACTCAGAGATGGCGTTGAGCTTCTGAAATGCATGGATCCTAGCAAATGGCACACTCGTACCTACAGAGATGGTGGCGCCCTGGGGGCTACTTTTCCATGATAGGGTCCCCCCAAAGAGCCAGATCCCCTGGGTCTATTTAAAATCCAGCTTTTTGGAGACTTGCTGGGCAAACAAGGATGGCTGGCATTGACATTGCTCACGGGACCTCCAGCTCACCACCTTCCTGTGGCAGCACATACCAGGCAGAGGGTGGCCATGTGACCAGCCTTCTCTGATGTGACAACTGGCAACATTCAAGACGGTAACTGACCTACCAGCCTGGGTCCCCAAGGGCCAAGACATGCAGCATGGTGAGGAACAATCCGTTGTTCTTCAAGTTACTTGTTACTGCAGCATAGCCCAGCCTATCCTGACTGCTTTGAGATGCTGCTATACAGGTCTGCATTGCTAAATGTCCACAAAAATGGGACATTATGTGATGTGGACACTATGTGAACACCATACTATATACAGATGAGAGGTGCACAAGATGGTCACCAGGCAGACCCCAGCCCCTTGACACCCACCGCGGCACTGGAAGACTCTGTTCAAACTTGGACTCTAGCATCGCAGACCCTATAGCCCTGCCTGCTCTCCAGTCCCCGGAGAAGAACCTCATTCTTGGTCAAGTAGCAGGGCAACAAAAGAGAAGATCCTCAACCAGATGGATTGACACAGCAGCTGCGACAAGGGGCTCAGGCATCGGAACCATTGTGAGGATGGTACAGAAGCGGGCAGCGTTCCTTTCTGTGGTGCATAGGGTCACTCTGAGTCCGAGCCCACCAGATGGCACCTGAAAACAGCAAGTTAACCTTACGGGCCCACGAGGCATGTGCGCATCACAGACTTGCATTTGGTGGAAAGGAAAGAGAAGAGCCGGTGTTTGGCCAGTTTCGCATGAACAGAGTCCATGTGCTGGTGGGTCGGTGGGAAGGTCTGGGGACTGTGTGCTGGTGGCTACACTGAGGTACGAATACTGAGGTGTTTCCCATTGCATTTGTAATGATCAGCACCAATCGGGCTGTAAATGTAATCACTTTGTCTGGTGGGTGGTGATTCCGTGCAGAAGGATCATCTCTTTTTACAGTTAACTCAATACTGCAGCCGGCTGATGTCATGTTAAATACTGGCCCTCTGCGCTGAAGAGAAAAAGGCATTTCCCGGGTGCCAGGATGAATGGAAATGAGGTGTCTGTGATGGGCTGACATCATGCCAGGCCCCCACCACCACCACCCACGCACACACAGGGGACCTTGGAATGGGGAAGTAAGTTTCCGTCTCCAAAACCAGACCTCTTCGGGCAAGAGCTATCAGGGGGCCCTGCGTGCAC